GCGATTCACTTGTGATTTACATGTAAATTACATGTGATTTACATGTGAATCACATGTAATTCATATGTGATTCACTTGTGATATATTGCTAAAATGAAACAAATTAAAATAAAGTATATGGTTAGAAAAAATAGATAATTAAGATGATTTACATGTGAATTATATGTGATTCACATGTAAATCACAAATGATTCACATGTGTCACAAGTGATTCACATGTAAATCACAAGTGATTCACATGTAAATCACAAGTGATTCACATGTAAATCACAAGTGATTCATGAAGCTCAATATAGAAGCAACTAAAATAAACTATATGGTTAGAAAAAATAAATAATTAAGATGATTTACATGTGAATCACAAGTGATTCACATGTAAATCACAAGTGATTCACATGTAAATCATAATATCTGATAAATGGACCTTTTCTTCCCCATCTTTTGAACCCTGAAGCTGAATTTTGAATTTTAGCAGCATTTGTAGATTCATGTTTGTTAGCAAAAAGGTAAAACAGATAAAAAATCATACCTTCATTTCATTAGTTCCAAAAGTATAATAGAAACACTTTGTTTCAATATTTGAGGCAAAAAATGCAGGTTTCCCTTGGTCTGAATTTTAGTCCTCACGCCAGCATTTACCACATTTCTCACAAGTGAAGTTTATTGTCATGGGTTCATCAGCTGGCCTTGTTTGAAACTGGATGTACGCTACCTTGTTGTGGCCACAATCTGGGCTGCAAGAGACAAAAAGCATCATAAATTAAAGTTGCAAAAAGAAAAAGTGCATCAATTTACTCAAATTCCCATGATAATTTTGTAACACATTTTTCTAGAGCTCACATCAATTAATTTAGAGGAATCATGTAATTAGAACTTATATACAAAGCAATAGCAATTGTACATTTCATGAACATAAAATTTTAAGCTATTTAATTGAAAGTTATTTATTTAAATTATGAGATTTTACCTGAGGGTGTTTCGTTAGGAAAGGTGCAAGTCAGAACCTCCAATAAAGCCGACATTTTCAGTCGGAATCCGCCGCCCGGAGAAAATACTCATCAAATTCTTTAATAATCTCCAAAAGGTCATATTAGAAAATAAGATAAAATAAACCTAAACACAAATCATCTTGCATCAGCCAATCAAATCAATAAGAATTAACCTATCTCACTGTTAATTTGCGTTAAAATTTAATTAAAATCAAATCCTAAAAAGTAAAAACTATTAATAACTGATCTCGTATTTTAATTACTATAAAATCAACAGTAATTGACTAACTTTGGACACCACCAACACTACAGAGGACAAGAATTACACCATCAAGAACCTGTAGAGCTCTCTCAACTTCAATTGTGAAGTCCATGTGACCTGGAGTATCAATTATATTTATCTGTAAAAAGTAAAAACAACATGCTTTTATTGCTAAGTGAAACAAAAACCAAATCTTCCATTATCAATGGCTAAAAATTATTGTTTCATGATCCACCATGTCTAGAAAATGTAAATTAAAAAACATTCAGATGCATGTATTCAAGTTAGAACTACAGAAATAGGAATTGAAGCAGGTAGCATAAAACTACAAACGCATAACACGTTTTTCAAAAGAAATAATAATAAATGATGCATTTTAGTCTCGTGTTTATGATGACTTCGATTTATCGTCCTTCAAATTTGTGTAATTTACGAAATGAAGCTGATAATTAACCAATATTGGATCAAAAATTACTCATTTACATGATTAATCTACAACCAAATTCCAATAACAAGTTAATTATAAGCTTAATTACAAAACCACTAACTAATTCCCCCCAAAATAAACTCAATTATGAGTTCATGAAAGTTCAACTAGTTCAACACAATTTCAAACTTATCTCTAATTGATAATCAAATGAATTAACACAAAAAAAAACAACAAAATTTAACATAATCATTGACGAAATAGTAAGATCTCACTTTCAATGAACTAAATAACAGAACTAAATAACATATCTCACTTCCGATGAACTAAATAAAATAGTAATTTTTCACCTGATTAATTACTGTACAGTTCTAAAACTAACTACAAATTAAAATGAATCAAATCGGTACTTTTCAAATTAGGGAAAAAACCTGTCGATTGAAGCATTTGTTTGAGCTGCAGTGGATTCATCCACGGGAACTTCACCTCAATTCTTACATCTCGGCGATGCTAATAAGATATGGCGACAAGACGGACAGGAGGAGTGAGATCCGAACCAAGTTTCAAAGCACATGACATGGAAACCATATCCGAACCTTGGCAACGATCTGATCTCATCACCGGAGACGAATTTCGTCAAGTAGACAGTGCAGTCGAGAATTTCTCCGCCATTGTTTCTTTGGTGTAGGAGACTATTCCGAAGATCCGACGGATCCAGGTGCAGCGAGCGACTGCAACGAGACCGAGGACACAGATTAGGGAACACAAAAAGGCGGCGAGGATGACGATGAAGTTGGAGGTAGAGGTGGTCGATTGAGGTAGGGCAGAGACGATCGATGGAAGGGAAAAGATACGGTGGAGACATGGGAGACGTGGGAAGGAGAGAGAGAGAGAGAGAGAGAGAGAAGAGAGAGAGAGAGAGAGAGAGAGAGAGAGAGAGAGATCTAGTGAGGAATGGTAATCAGACGTGTGTGTAAGGAGTTAATTTCTATAACCCTAAAATGCCCCTAATGCCATTTAATTTCTATGCCCCCGTCCCTTTATTTTTCCACTTATTTACAAAAATGCCACAGTGCATCTTGGTCATCCATTTTTTTGATCCAACGTTCCACTTTTAGTTCCCAGGTTTTCGGGAAACTATGAGTTCTCAAATGATCCTTGCTCTCTCTCTCTCTCTCTCTCTATATATTATATATATATATATATATTATATATATATATATATATATATATATATATATATATATTGGAGTGGTTCAAATGAGAACCCCAAAAGGTTAAGAACCCTGAGAACCATTTTTAAATGTTTTCATTAAAGACATTTTGGACAAATCTAATATTTATATTGTGTTAAGCAATTTGTCACTTGTCCTCGGACCGTCCCCAAACCACCGTCGAACCTTTGTCTGACCACCGCTGGAGCTTCGTCGGAATGGTGTCGGAATAACAATAAATTCGGTGACATTTTTCTGATCGTATTCACAGTTTAATAGAACAAAAATTGTTACTCGCATTTCTTTGGTAATACTTTTTATTTTTCCAGTCAAAATATACAAAATTTTGGTAAAAAAAATTGAATTATGTCTTGAAAAATTCAATTTTCCTTTTTTTCTAAATTGTAGATTTCTTGTAAATAAAATATATTGTGTCTAAGAAATATTCACAGTATAAAATACAATATTCATAGTTTAATAAACATAACAATTCACTAATACATTATTTAATATTTTCATACATACTTTCATTCATATTTTAACACAAAATTTATATAAAATATACAACTTAATACAGTCAATTTTTAGTTTAATACATAAAACTCACAACATAACATAATACAATCCATTATACATTAATTTACATATTTAAAAAGTCAAACTCAAACTCTATTACCACCACCATGACTAACTACCACACGTCACCACCAACCATTCGTGATACCGTCACATTCATCATTCCTTCCAACTCAAATCTATATATAAAATCATTGATTGACAGTTAAAATACAATATTCACATTTTAATAAATCAATTAATTTACTTATTCAGAGTTTAATGCAAAATAATTAAAAAAAAACTTATCCATTTTTACATATTTGTACAACAAAAAAAAGATATTCACAAGATATGAATACAAACATTCATATATAAATCATTCAAAAAAATTAACACAAAATTCATTAAAAAATCATAGTTAATTCACAGTTTAAATAGAAAGTTCACATTTTAATGCAGTCAATTCACAGTTTAAACCCCAAAAATCACAACTTAAATCATTCATAAATTAACACAAAATTCATTAAAAATTCGTAGTCAATTCACAGTTTAAATAGAAAGTTCACACTTTAATGCAGTCAATTCATAGTTGTAACACAAAAATCACAGTTTAATATATAAAGTTCACAGTTTAAACAGAAAATTCACAGCTTAATACAGTCAATTCACAGTTTAAATCCTAAAAAATCACAGCTTAAGACACAAAATTCACAGCTTAATATAATAAATTCGTAGTTTGTTACACAAAAATTATGCATTGACAACTATATAAAATTTTAATGACAGAAAATTCACAGCTTAATACAGTCAATTCACAGTTTAATACACAAAATTCAAAGCTTAATATAATAAACATATACAATTTAATACACAAAATTTACAGCTTAATATAATCAATTCACAGTTTAAATATAAATTTCACAACTTAATGCAGTTAATTAACAGTTTAATACACAAATTTCACAGTTGTTTGACAAATCAAGCATTAATATTATATTTGTCAAACTTTTCCGTTCCCTAATGTACAACTAGTTGTCACTTATTGTTGGACCGTTGTCGGACCATCGCCTGACCGTCGTCGGACAAACACCAAACTCAATTACATTTTTCTGGTCGTATTCACAACTTAATTTAATAAACATTATATTTCTTCTTTTTTTGGTAAAATACTATTTAACACATCATTTCATTTCTACAACCATATATATATATATATATATATATATATATATATATATATATATATATATATCAAGGTTGCAGAAATCGCTCGACGGTGGACTTGGGTCATGCGATTAATCGACTAGAAGAGGATTAATCGATGGATTAATCGGAGACCATTAATTATTAAAAAAACTATTGAATATAACATTAATCCTAAGAATTTGACATTAAATATAACATTAAATATAACATTAATAAAAGGAAAAACCCAAAATACCTGTGCATACAATTCAAATCTATCAAACATCCCCAAACATAATCAAATCTTAAAATTTTTCACAAATCATAATCACCACTCGACGATTCACCAAAACCCTCATGTGATCTCATCCTCTTCGAACCATCAGCACCACCGCTCCCCCTGGTTCGACCCTTGGAACCACCTGCTGCACCCTGGTCCAAACCACTTCCACTTTTTCAAACCTCCGAAAGCCCACTGTAAAGCCCTCACCAAATTCTCAAAATAAGATTGAGTCACAATAGTCAAATCCACTAACTTCACTCTGAAATTACTAAACTGTTCTTCACTGGGTTTTCCTTTTCATCTCCTTCCTTTGTAATGTAACTTTGAGTAACATCAATCCTAAAATCAGTAAATTTCTTAACAGAAAAGCTGTCAAATGCTATTTTTCAACAAATTCTGGATAAATTGTTGTTAACAGAAGAAGTTTCATAGAGAAGTAATATTAACCTTTGCTGGATAACTCGATTAGTGTCGAGGAGAGGAGTTGTAGTCGTAAGAGGAGCTGATTTTGGAGCCGAGAACTTCGTGAACAGGAATCGTTGTCAAATGTGATGATAACTGGAGCTTGGAAGGGGACTGCGACATCGTTGCTCGAAGGTGATGACGAACCGGAGGCCAGAGCTAAAGTCGAAGGTGAACGGAAGAAGAAGAAGATGCGCCGATTTCACATCTTTCGTTCTCGTTCTTGGTTTGAGTCCAGAGAGAATGTCGATTTTTTTTAGTGCATCGAATGAGAAATTGGAAGTTAACCCTAAAAGCAATTGTTACATTTTGTCAATTTTGCCCTTAAATTTTTTTAAAATTACGTTGACTTGGTTGACCGATTTGGGCGCCTAGACCCGCCTAGACACGTCTTTGACCGACTTTGACCACGTCCGATTATATAGTCTGATTAGCTATAAACGTCGACAGTAGATGACCGCCAAGCGCCTAGGCGCCGATTAATCGACAGCCTAGGCTGATATTTGCAACACTGATATATATATATATATATATATATATATATATATTATATATTATATAATTATATAATTAATAAAAAAAATAGACTTACACCTAGTCAAATTAATATTTTTTCTTAATTATAGATTTCTATAAAAAAAATATAGCCAATATTGAGAATTAATCCCTATAACACCTAATCTCTATAGTAATTAATATAACAATTAACATAACAAGTAATAAGAAATTCATTAAGGCAAGTAACATTTTGTTTTTCAATATTGCAAGATTGTATGGTATAACAAATCCAGTCAATCAAATCCTTATTATAACTTATAATGATCATCTAGATGCTTCAATGTACCTATAATATGCAACAAATGTGACCAGCGAAGATTCAACTTGTAGCAGGTGATGCATCATTAACCACCTCTTCTGTCCTTCCTGTGTGACACTAGAAACATATGAGAAATGCATCTAATCAGTTTACAGGATCGAGATTAATCTGAGAAGTTTAAGTATAATTTTGTTATGTGTTTCCAAAAGAGTGTTACCTATTTGCCAAAAGAGTAGGGAACATATGTATACTTTATCATATGTCTTATATGTCTCCTCATTGTTGCAACAAACAACACAATCCAATAGAACAATAGAATTTGCCAAAATACAGGAACATCAAATACACGGAAGAATCTCAACACAAAAGCAAGGCAAGTTGTATTGTAATTGAATACCTGTAGCCATTTCAATAGAATCATGTGTTTATGTATTTGCTAAATCGAAAATAACATACAAGAATTAAGTAACATTTATAGGACGCACCAGAGCTTGAATTCAGGAAGACGGCGAACGAAGGGGCTGAATTCTTCAGATCCATTGGTAGTTAGGGCAAAGCCATCAAAATGTTCTTCTTCAAATTTGGGATCAACCTGATGCGAAGGGAAAGTGATGAAGAGCTGAAGACTATAGATCCTTAGGTTATATGTTACGATGTAGTAACCACGAACGAAGCAAACACGGAGGACGTCGATGAACAAGACGACGCCGAAACCGATCCAACGGTGGCGGACGTATGGCGTTGACTTGTCGAGAAGGTGTTCAAATATGATGTCATGTTTAATAAATCTGATTCCAGATCTATAGTTGTTTCAAGGTCAATGTTCCAGAAATTGTTGGAGAAAATGATAGTTACGATGTCGTCGATGGTGGTGTTGGTCGTCGACGGTGGTGTCGATCGTCGGAAATCTAGCTCTCGATGATGGATAGATGAACTTGCTGATAAGAGAGATATCAAATCTAGATCTAATTTTGAATAAGATATTATGTGTTAAAGAAAATAGGTCTTGATTTCCCAATATTTACCATCATGCCACTTTTCTTTTATGTTTATTAAAGTGGGCTAAAATTTGTATTTATTTACAATCATACCATTTTTTATTTTTAAGAAATAATTGACAAAATGTCTTTTATAATAATAAATTATAATAATTATAAGTTAAAAAATAAATGGTTCTTAGGGTTCTTAATCTTTTTTTGTTCTTAGAACATTTACCTATATATATATATATATATATATATATATATATATATATATATATATATATATATATATAACTTAATTTATGAGAATAGTTGTAGTCCTGAATAATATCGTTATAACGACTTTGACTAACGAACGACCAAATATTGGGAAACTTTTGAGTTGCGTCCAACGACTTCTAATGTGTGGACAGCGCGTTGCAAAAATTGCGATCATATCCTTTTGCCGTGTGGAAATTTGGTAATTGTACCTAACATGGTTATCTCATAACCATCTATAGTCGACAACAATTAAATAAGATCACGTTTACTGAGTATAATGCATATGTTCTTGTTTATCTTTCATGATGTTATACTATTATTCGATGCTATATCTTTTTATTGTAACAAATATGTAGACAAAGGTGAACATCTTTTTAAGCCATTATTTATCGCCATTTTAACCTGTTAGAATGACAATTAAACTGAATAAAAATATTTAAAAGGGCGACATGGCCAAGCTTTTAGGCCCGAAGGCAGCCCAAAGAGGCATAGACCACAAACCTTACCAGGCCAAATTTTCAGATGAGACATCCAGCCTGGCATTTTCAAGTCATTGACTGTTCGGGCCGGGCCAGGCCGGGCTGCCAAAATGTGCACCTCTATCTGTTCGTGGCTTCGTGCCTCTTTGCTTGTTTCATCCCCAACAGGTATAGATTTTTCTAATTGGCAAAAACTTATTACCCTTTTTTGTAATGACTAATTAATGCCCAGAAAACGAAATAAATTTTACGATTATTATATCGAAGATAGCAAATTAAAAAGAAAAAAGAAAAACATAAGCAAGGTGCACCATGTTCTTCACCTGTAAATATACAATTTTCAATATTCAACGGAAGCAATATATACACCTACAGAGAAACCTATAGCTATGGTTGGGAAGGATCTGAATTCTGAACTAGTTAGTATATACACGGTGTTGCTCACGGCGGCATGCTCTCCTCACCGAAGTCTCTCAATCTAGCAAGCTCCGGCAAAACCACCTTCCCTAAATCCGGTCTATCTTTACGCCTTAACTCAGCACATTGTAGTGCCAATTTTGCAAACCCTAGGGCTTCATCTTGAGGCCAATCAGTGACACACGGATCCAGCATCTTACCAAAAGTTCCATCATCAATGGCGTTTTGAACATGATGACTCAAACCCATCGCCGGTCTAGCTGTAATCAACTGCAACAACATGATCCCTAGAGAATAGACATCAGATTTCACCCCAAGCATCCCCGTCTGCTGATATTCCGGATCAATATAGCAAAGTGTCCCTGCCGCCGATGTCATCCGATACTGCGTCATGTCACCAGTAACCGACGGCGGGAGTAATCTCGCTAGTCCGACGTCGCTTATCTTGCTCACGAAGTTTTCGTCTAGGAGAATGTTTCCTGGCTTCAGATCACGGTGAACTATCGGTTCTGGTTTTGTCTGATGAAGAAACAGGATTCCGGTGGCGATTTCTGACGCGATTTTGAATCTGATTTGCCAGGATAACGGTGGCGTGTTTCCTCTTCTGAGTAGCCGATCTTCTAAACTACCGTTACCCATGTATTCATAGATCAGACACCCGTATTCCGGGCAGGCTCCAAGGAGGAGAACCATATTCGGATGTCGCATACAGCTCAACACTTCAACCTATCATCATTCATCAACCAATCAATTATTTGTAGAGATCCTTAAATTAAACCTTAATTACAATTCAACAATTCATATCCCTATATACCTCGCGTTGAAACTGCGACCTTCCTTGTGCAGCATCTGGACGCAACACTTTAATGGCGACAACGGTCTGACTGAGCATACCTTTAAAAACAGGACCGTAGCCTCCTTCTCCGATCTTTCTAGATTGTGCAAAAAACTCTGTAGCCTCTTCGATCTCTTCAATTGTATATTTCTTATACTGGAATTTGTTATCGGGATCCTCATCGTCTGTGGTAAGTGCTTTCATTTCGGCGACAACTCGTCTAGATTCCAATTCCATGATTCTTTTAGATGCTTCTGCTTTCTCCATTGTTGCCTGGGACTTGGCTTTCTCTTTCTCTCCAGCTTCTCTAGCCTCCTCTAATAATCTCTTCTGTTCTTCCATACGCCATTGTTGGAGTCCCTCCTGTTTGGATTATGTCATATTAGTCATCTATTGCACATAAAATAATCATTATTAGTGCTCAATTTGTAACAGACCTTTTGTTTTGCTGTACTTGCGTCATTGCAATCTACAGTATATAAGCCCATTTTCCTCACGAGTTCCATCTTTAACATTTTCATTTCATTGTCACCATCATCCTGTATGAATTTCTCAAGATCGAAGTAAATCCATGTTTTATATCTGTTTTAGATCTGGGGGATGGCTTTGTTTAATGCATACTTACCATATTCTGAGATGCAGATGAGGCTCGGCTCTCAAAAGAAGACGATGAGAAATCATCACGATTCCGATCAGTTATTCCGATGTCCAGGTCGTAGTAGTTACCGAGAGACATGCGATCAGTGCTCTGCCTCGCATTCCCCACAAACGATATATCGGTGTCTAAATCCTGAAGCTTCAAGAGCTTCGCATTTTCTGCTCTTCCAGGTCGAGTAAATGGCGATCTGGTAATTAATTAACTGCTTTTAGTTCTGCAAAAATAGTTTGAAGGGTGCTTTCGTGAAGTACTATGAAAACTTAAAACTTACCTGAAGGATTCAAGCTTTTCCGGCATCATACGGGGCTTCTCAGGCGGCTTTTCCGGCGCTCTGGATTGAAAACTGTGGTTGTTGTTGTTGTTGTTGGGTGCAATTGACACGAAACTGTTTGCATTGTTTGATTTCTCTTGGATCTGTTCATGGAGCGGAGAAACAAACGGGGCGGGTTTTAAAGATTTTTTTGCACTCGAAATCTTCCCTTTGGAGATGACATAAATGGTGCAGAAATCTGGGGCCACCTTCATTACACTGCTGGGAACATCGGAGGTCTTGAATCTTGTATATATCAGAGTTAAATAATTAATCGATTAGTCAAAACTCAAAAGATCTTAACGTGAAAAAAACAACAATGAAAAAAATATTTATCGTCTTAATTTCACCTAATGAAACCATGTCGTGAGGATGCACCAAGCACCAAATACTCTATTGCATTTTCAGAAGCGTATTCTGCTAACGCTTTTGCTATGTTGGTGCCTTCAAGTATGACATCAATGCATTGTACCTGTAAATCAAATAAAAAATATATTTTTTTTGGACGAAATAATCAAGTTTTTGTATGGAAATGTGTATGCATGCATACGTCTTTTCGGGTACAGAAGCAATGGAAAGTGAGGAATAGGTCTCGAATCTTCTTTTCATGATCAGGCCCTCCCCCTACATCCATAACACGTAGTATTTTGTTAGATAAGTCACTGAGACATTGTATAGGATTCCAACAGATTCATCAACTATAATTTCTAACATAAAGTTTTGTAGAAATGAAAATTATGATTTGTGTAAATATTAATTTATGGAGGAATTGCTTATTGCCTGATTTGTGATTGACATGGATGAGGACAACGGTTTGACCACGGGTGAGAAGGTGTTCAACAACCCATTTGAGAGCGTGTTGGCTGTATTTATCCTTGTCTATTGCGACAGCCACAATGGAGTTTCCCTTACGTTGCCCATTTCCTGCACGGATGGACGAGTTACTCGTTGTCTTAGGAAACCACATTCTTTGTTTCTTCCTTATTTTCTTCTATTGGGACATGACAGAAAACTATTTCCATTGTCCTGGATTTTTGGACCTCATTTGTTTTTTGTTAAATCTTTATGGTTTTTGATTTAGTTTGGTTTTGGGAATGGATTGTTAACTTGAAAAAATTGGTAGACGATTGTTTGGTATAACTTTAGGCAGGGTTGGAAAGTACCAAGTCAAACTACATTTCCTTTCCATCGTTTCTAATCAAATCACTTCCTAAAAACTCTCTCCACATATCTTTGAATGGATTAGAATCGACCAATACGCATTAATATGATTTTATTAAAACTATATGAAAATAATCAATACGATTATCCCCTATTATAATAAATAAGAACTTTTAATGCTACGTGGCATTCTCTAAGGCATTCCAATCTATTTTTTCCCGCTCTTTTCAGCAAACTGAAACACCGATATTACCCTTCCCTTCGATTTAATATCTTCTGTATACACAGCTGGAATAATTCCTATTATATCCTTTTACCGAAAACTGTCACCCATTTAAATAAGGAGATCCGATAATCTTTTAAAATTCAAAAAAAAATTAAATCTATTGATCTATTTCCTGCATGTATTTTAAACAAGGAAACTCATTAATCAATATTTAACCTTATTATTTAAAACCGATCACAGCCTTATTTATCGTATTACTCTAAACTTTATAAAGATTTTTATCTATTATATTGGTTAACATACTCAAAAAATTGCGTTGATTCTTCACATTCCAATCGTTCACAATTCCGCGGAGCAGAAGAAAAACAGATATTCTAATCGGGAGGCTTTTTCAATACCTGTAAGTCAAAACCCTTTAAAAGAAATCTGCTCATCGTTATTCATTATACATTTAATCAGTAGATAATGAAATTTGTATATCTGTATATGTGTATCTGCATGTAAATGGTTCAATAACAAAGATGATTTTTTTTCCATTAAGTTGATTTTAAAGGTCCATAAATATATTATATTTTACTTTTGAAATTGATGTTCAGTTAATTTATTATCTTTGGCATGATAAAGAATTAAAGAGCAATCTACATAATGCACCTTGGTATTATGAAGCTTATACCAATTGCGTTACCAAAGCTTATGAAAAAATTATTACTTTCAATCAATTTGCAGATCAATTTATGAATGGCACGATGACAAATACACAAAAACCATGACTTCATTTGTTCCTAGGTTATTACTTTTTACTTGAATCATTTAATTATGCTTTTTTTATTTACAATTTATCAATATTATTTGGCTTTTCAATTGTTATAAATTCATGATTCCAATTCGTGTTGAAGATAGTACCGAAACTGTAATATTAACTATGTTATAACGAGATGCAAAGAAACCCTTGCAAAAAATTTGTCAATGATTTATTTACAAAAACTATCATGGTGGGTGTTTTGGTCGAAATTTAAAGATAGTGAAATATGTTTGTTTACTTATTCTATAATATATATATATATATATATATATATATATATATATATATATATATATATATATATATATATATATATATATATATATATATATATATTATGAAAATATATGGCTGTAAAAATCACTGGATTGTTGGTTCATATCTCATAACTTTTTTAATTCTAATTAATTTTAATGTTTTATAGTTTTTTTAAATTATGTTAAATATATATTATAAAATTACTTTAAAATAAGATAATATAAGTCATACAATAAGCTAATTTTTATTCCATTTCTTTCTTTTATCATTATTAAAATCTGCTTTCAATTGTTTGCAGGAAATGGATATAGGTAAGAAAGTATACCTCAAAAGCATTGAACATATTGATGATGATTCTCATATCAAAGTGCGGGTTGTAAAGATGTGGAAGTTTATA